CAAGTTCTAAGGATGTGATTGCATTTTATGGTAGATTGGCAGTTCACTCATTTACCAATTTACCCCACCCAAATGTAGAATACAATTAGTCTGTGTTATTTATGACCGGATATGTCAAAGCAATGTGCACAAGTTAACTTTTCCCAAACATTCGGAGACTAGAGGTGGAGGACTGGGTACAACCATGGGAGTGCCAATGATGCCATTGCATGATGAAGTTGCATTATGGCAATTCACTTGTTTACCACTCTTCCCTACCCAAATTCAGAAGAAAATTAGTCTCATTTTGTATGACTGGATATGTTAAAGCTGTAGGCAAAAGTCAACTCTTTTCCCAAGCATTAGGAGATCAGAGGTGGACCGAGAGCAATAGGGCCATGACATTGTCTCCGTTTTCTTCTGCAAAATGTCAGCATAATTGAGCCAGCCAATAATTTCTCCTTATATTTTTATATTTACGTAGTTGCAGCGTAACTGCCTGAGTTTGTGTATTTGGTATTTGCAAGATAATTGTTGAATATGAAAATGTTAGATTTGCAGTGTTGTCAAAGTGGTTGCATTTGAATTACATACATAGTGCTTGGGTCCAGGAGAACTGCCCAGTGTTAACTTTGTTCAGATAATGAACAAAGATAATGACTACAATAATTACTTCTTCTTCTGCACTGTATCTGTCAATGGAGCATAGACCCTCAACTAACTCATGTCAGATGGTTTTGTCCTTTGCTGTTGCAAACATCTCACCCCATATCCTGCCCATCTTTTAACTTTACTTTCTAGTTCCCTTCTCTGTGTGTTTTATGATCTGCCTTTATTCCTTAGTCCTGTGGGTTCAGTGAAGAGATATTTTAGTTGTATTGTTAACATGAATTCTAACAAACTGGTGCCCGCACAGAAAAGAGTGAATTAAATTATATTGCGGAATCCCTAAAGTGGAGCTTTGGAATAAACTGAACAAATTCCAGGGAATCAGGAGGTTAGGAAACAATGCTTGCATTGAATAGAAGACACAATCCCCATGTATATTCCAGTTGGAGAAATAGAAGAATTGACCTTTGAAATGTCGAAAAATGCAACTAATTAAGAGTTTGCTGAATCGGATGCGTCTGGCCAAAAGACGCACACATAACGGCCTAGCTGTAAACCACAAAATAACAGGCCAACTTTTTGTTTTGTTTTAGGGTAAACACAGAAGAAGAAAAATGAATTAGGATGCGTATTGAGAAAACCTGGTAGCAGTATAACCAAATTTTCTTCCACTTGAACTTATAGAATCAAAGGATAAGAGCAGAAAAGATCTCATAATGGAGAAGAGAATTAGAGACTAAGATGGAAAAGGGTGAGGAGTCGTGGAGTGAGCTGCAATGTACTGGCAAAGGAAAGGATGTCCTGCCTAGAGTTGGTTTTCATAGAGGAAAAAGGGCAGAAGTAGAATTATTACCTTGCTTAGCGTTGAAGAATGCAGGTTTATTTAGTGCGACGTGGTGAAAATGATGTGGGGAGTCAGTTCTCTTTTTTCTTTCATCCTCATTACTTTTTCTTTCACCAACTGTGTTCTCATAATTCTTCTGTAAAACCACCTTTCTGTAGCTTCCATATAATTTTTTTGTTACCAGTTCATGATTCATTTCTCCGTAATAGGATTCTCTCTCTTTCTCTCTCTCTCTCTCTCTCTCTCTCTCTCTCTCTCTCTCTCTCTCTCTCTCTCTCTCTCTCTCTCTCTCTCTCTTTCTTTCTCTCTCTCTCTCTCTCTTTCTCTGTGTGTGTCGTCTTCAGGTTTTTTCTTTAGATGGTGCTCTTATCCTTCTTCTGTAAAACTACATCTCTGTAGCTTCCATATAATTTTTTACCAGCTCTCCATTTTTCATTTCTTTATAAAAGGAATCTCTTTCTCTTGCTCTCTCACTTTCTCTCTCTCTGTCTTTCTCTGTCTCTCTCTTTCTCTCTGTGTGTCTTCTTTGTTTTTTTCTTTAGATTTTGCTCTTATCCTTCTTCTATAAAACCACATACATACATACATACATGCATACATACATACATACATACATACATACATACATACATACATACATACATACATACATACATACATACATACATACATACATACATACATACATACATACATACATACACACATACATACTGTGTCTGTAAAGTTACAGACTGTGGTTGTCTAAAGATAGAGATAAGGAACCTCTGAGAGATGTTTCACTGCACACCGATAAGCCACCAGACAGCCCAATTCCCCTCTTCATAAACTTAGTGAAAATGTTGTGTGACTTCAATTAAACCTTACTGTCGGAAGAGCCCCATCAGACTTCACACGGAAAGCCATTCAATTTCCGCAATGAACTGTGTTATTCCACTGGGAATTAATGCAGCTGCTGATGTCAGATTGTAGAACATTTCAGTGTATGTCTGCTTGCTGTTGAATGTTTTTTCCTTTATTTGTGGACGCTTGTTTCTTCCTGTTTGTTATAATTATTTATTCATGTAATCTAACCTTTCTTTGTTAGTGTTAATTCATTCACTGCTACTCAACTCATAATAATTTCTTTCTTAGTGGTAATTAATTCACTTCTGCTTGACTTGTAATAATTTCTCTGGTGGTGTTAATTCATTCACTACTACTTAACTCATTATAATTTCTTTCCTAATGTTAATTAATTCCCTACTGTTTAACTGATAATAGTTTCTTTCTTAGTGTTAATTCATTTACAGCTACCTAACTTGTAATTTATTTTTTAGTGGTAATTCATTCACTACTACTTAACTTCATTCACTGCTACTTAACTTTAAATGAGCAGGCAGATAGACTGGCTGGTTCTGCACCGCTCGGTGGTGAACTAATATATGACAAGCTGGATGTTGTGAGGGCTCTTTAGGAGTGATTTAACAGTGCTGAGGAACAGATAGATCATGACGGTCTGGGCAGGATGGCACTGCGAGGTATTACAATGGGATCTGGCCGTTGCTCAAAACTCAGGGGAAAGACGAGACAGATATACAATCAGACAGTTACTGGTGCCATCGGAATTGGAACTCCTTGCTTGCTGCTGAAGATGGGGACGGAACGCTTATGGGGGTGTCCTGAGTACTATGATGTCAATTCGTAATTCAACATTCACCATACTACTTGTATTTGTTTTTCTTGGTGTTAATTCATTCACTATTACTTAACTCATAATAATTGTCTTGCTTTCTATATGCGTGATGCATTTTTCCTGTGTGCCTTGTCTAGTTGCTACATTAAATCCACACTACCCCTGTTGGTTCTATAACATTTTGTGTTTTTTGTGATATCTTCTTCTTCTTCTTCTTCGCGCTCACCAGCTGTAAACTCTGGCGGAATGTCCTGAGTGTTTGTCCACTTCTGGACTGTAGTCCTCTGTTCCAGAACCTGAGTGTTGTGCGCATAGCTGTTTTAAAGTGCGTATGCCGATTGTTCGTTCCTTGCCACTCAGGCATATGCACCCTGACTTCAAAGGAAGCTCCCAATTAATTGACTCCTACAACATGCTTTTGGGTAGGCAGTGGGTCTGTTCTTGTTTCCCCCACAATGGAGCTCTGAAACCCACATGGGGATATGTGAGGATATTATTTTGACACTTCAGGTTCAAACATTTATTGGTTAAAATAACAGCTTTTCGGGATAAGATGAGTTAAAAGTAACAACTCCTGTGACTGAAAAACATTAATTACATTTTGCTTGTCTTTTCATGCATCACCTTAGTGTTGTGGCACTTCTTCTTTACGTCCTCTTTTTCCGCTACGGGTGTCGAGGGAGAAATAAGGTCCTGCTTCTTGCTCTTCTGGTTGCTTCGACCATAGACAAATTGTTTTGGTGTAGAGTTTGATGTTATCTTCCCATATTGTTCTTGGTATACCTCTTGCTCTACGTCCCTCTCCTCTTTTGGTATATGCCTTGTATGGTATAGCATCAGGAGGCATTCTCTCCAAGTGGGCAAACCATTTGATTTGCTGTCTTTGTATGTAATTTAGAATTGGTTTTGTGCCGACCTATCTCGTATGACCTTATTCCTGATGTTTCTCTTTTAGTCACCCCTTCAGTCTTTCTCAGACACCTCATTTCCATGGTTGTGGCACTGCCTGGTCTTTATGAGTGAGGTTTTTCCACTATCTGCTATGAAAAATTCTGCTTATGTTTTTTTTTGATAGTTTTCTTAATTTTCCTTGTATCATTTTAAGTAATACTGTTTTACTTGTATGTGTCTGTCCAGTACTTCTATGCTTTGATTGTAGAAGATTGCTCCTAAATGGATTGTGTCTAGCTAGTCACACTCTTCATCACCATGGGCTGTGATTTCTATGCCCCTCCCCCCCACCACACAATAAAATACTATCATTTAGAAAGACATAAAGGTCTTAGCTGTATATAATTTCTTTAGCAAACTGCAGCGGCATATTTTAGATAGTGCAGGTTGAAGTTTAATAGTACCTTATACAATTATACATGGCAAATCACAGTATGTATTTTATAAATATATAATATGTGTGTGTGCATACAAGGGAAAGTCAGTCAGTAAGTCACCTATGGTTGTGGGATGGCAGGAGAATGTAGTTTATGGTTTCAAAGATGTCATTGGGTGACAGCAACATTGAGCTTTATGTCTCCGTTGGTTAGGTGGCATTAGGTATTGCATGCGCATTTGAAACACAGGAACAAAATGGCAACTGTACTTACTGAGTGTACCCTCAAAGAAAAATGTGCTGTTGTGCAATTTTTTTTTTGGGGGGGGGGGGGGGGGGGGGGGATGGTTGCCTGCAAAGGACATTCATCTGAGAAACCTATAATTGATACCAGGAATTGTCTTGGGAAGTAAAGTGACTGGCATGATGTTGATCAAATCATCTGTTGATTATATCAGCTGGTCAATGAAAATGTGAGTTTAGCCCTATCTGCCTGATGTGCCAATGACATGAAAGTGTCCTCGACTTTACTTTCCTTACGTAACATTGTCATCTTTGAATTCCAGAAATTTCTGAGTTGCCAGCCCAATCAGACAATGATGCAGAAGCAAACTCCAAGGACAGAAATGCAGAGAACCATAGCATTACCCCACAGGGGGGAGGCAGCAGCAAACATCAGTCGCAGTCTGCAGGAGACACATCACCTGGGCATGCTCAAGGCAGTGAAGACAAGAGCATCAACGACCAGGACGTACAAATACACAGCGTAGGTCTTAAAAATGGACTACCACCACTCCAGAGCGACTCATTCGTTCGTTTGAAATCAGACACCGGTGTTGTACTCGATAGAGATTTCTACAATATTCCAGAAGGAGGATTGCCTGACCGTCATTCCAGTGTTGGTTTCAACTACCTGGACATTCCTGAAGGAGGTGAACATACCCCAGAATTTGAACATGCTGTCCAGTGGGGGCTGCCTTCTGAGAAAAAAGTGGTTCAGCAGCAGTCTGGTAGCGAGGCCTTGTGTGAGAAAGTTGTGTGTGAAAACAACGGCACCTGTGCTGTGGTGGAGTCTAAAGCTGTTTGCCTGTGTCCTCTGGGTACCTTTGGAGAGTCTTGTGGAAGAGGTAATGTATTATGTGTAGTCAGATTGTTGGGAACATTTGCTGATTATATACATGTAAACTGTTGAGGTCATGGAAATTAAAAAAAAAATGTGTTGACAATATATTTTCTAGGGGATCTCCATTGCGAAGTGATTAAACCCTTTTGCGTTGTGCTGTGAAAGTCATGGATTCTTTTCACAGTCTTGTCATTCAGTTTGTGGGTGGGTGGGATTTTTATGGAGATCATTAGGGATTGTTGCTGGAACTACAGGGTTTGTTACTCATCACCATGGTCAGTACTCTATGAAGTACCTAAAAAGGTGCCGGTACTGACCTCAACATGTCTATTACAGTAGTGCTGAAACAAAAAATGCTGCCTCAACTCTTTCAGTAGCAGGAAACTCACCATACAATTGTTAGTTTCTGCTGATGTGATCAACTTTCCTCAACTCTGCACCTCATCCAGGTCCTGCAGTAAGCCACTGTGCCCCTCTGCCTCATAGTGTTTTTTTATTTTAACTTTATTAGGCCCAAACATTAATTAGTTAAAGTAAAAACTTTTAAAGATATAATGAGTTAAAGGGAAACCTACCTAGAACAAAATGAATTTTTAAAAAAAGAGGAGAGAGGAGAGTACTGCATATCATTGTGTACTGGCTCATCTGTCAAACTGTCATTACTGTCTGGATTACCCACTTTTTAGGGGGTATAGACAGGGAGGTTGTGAGCCTGAGGATTTAGGGCCATATGGCTAGTGCTGTCACCACGGACTGTGCTGGTGAGGATGTTTAAATTTGCCCCCGACCAACAATTTGTATCACTTTACGGGGGATCAAAGCTGGGTCTCCTGCCAAAGAGCATTGTAACCGCTCAGCCATCCGCTCCTCATGGCCTGCTCATCACAGACATCACAACAAGCACTGCACTTGCAGAAGCAGTGAGGTGTGCTTAAACACTGTGTTATGGAGCAGAGCTGACTCAGTTGATGGTCTGATGTTCAGGAGTGAATGCAAGGGAGAGATATTGATTGGCTTTAAAACTTGTTTCATTTCTCTGTAATGACCAGCATTAAACTCTGTCTCACTTTGTCTCTCGCCCTCTATATGTTTGTAGCTCTGTGTATTTATAGGTATATTTTTCTCTCTCTGTTTGTCTATGCTGTGTGTCTCTGTGTCTGTCTGTCCGTCTCTTCCCCTCTCTCTTATATGTGTGTGTCTTTCCGTCAGTGTTTGTGTGTAATTGTATATCTCTTTTGTGTGAATAACACACATACAGTAAACAAAGAAAAGGACCCATTTTCATGTCTGGAGGAATATTTTTACATATAGTCGTAGTGTAACACTTGTATTTTGATATTTTAAAAAAAAAGGAGTCAGAAATAGTGAAGGATTGCTGACCGGCTGATATCACTGAACAATTAAAAGCAACTAGAAATCTGAGAGAAAGGAAATACCGACAACAGTATTTACCTTTCTCGAGCTTACTAGTTGCTTTTTAAATGGTCAGCCATTTTTCATATTTGTAGATCATTCAGTCAGTACTGAATGGTGTTGTCAGAATCTCTGCCTTTGCTGCATTGATAGTACAGTCACCATGAACTGTGTAGTGTCGCTTCTTAGCAGATCTGATGAGGTAACTATGTTGTGTCTGTTTAAGCATAGCTGCAATATTTGCAGCTTTTGGCCAGCGCATCTTCTTCAGACATTTGTTACACAGGTAAGCTTCCTGGAAGTTAGGATTGAATCATTTTCAGGATGTGTATCTTTTTGATTCTCATCCTTGAGATGTTAATTCTACAGACTACAATCCTGGAAGGGATAACTAAAAAAAAAAAAAAAAAACAGCATAAGTTGCTAATGGGGTAGTTAATTTCTTAGTGTATGCTGGTCAAACTAAAATGTGAGAAGGCACATGTTTTGATGTTTGGGACACATGAAGAAAAACCTACAACACATCACACATTTCTTGAAGCCCTTGTAAGAAAGCTGCCTTGACAACACAGAGGACGCTGCTCCGATCCATTATGCATTCTGCAAGTTTATTTCTTCTATTCCATCTGAATTACTCAATGGCAGTCATCGCTGTTCACTTCCACAACTCTGACACAATATTCATTTACTCGACATTAACTCCAACTAATTAAAACTACAGTAACGACATCCTGACTGTCCTCTTCTAACTCTGGTGCGCTACTGACCACGAGTCAACCTCTTGCTTTCTTTCATTTACCTTTCTATCCCTAAGTATCTGGTGCAGTTGTTTGTCGCACAGATTTTCTGCTTGACATGCTGTGAGCGGGGAGACCATGCAAAACACTTCATCACAGCCATAGTGTCCGAAATGTCTGTCAGTATCCTTTTGCCAGCTGCAAATGTCTAACATGACCAATGAACCAACCCTAAGCTTGACACTTGGTCGTTAAGGTAGCCAGGTGATTTAATGGGCTACCGCGGCGACAATACAGATATCTAACTTCGAATCTTACAGTATCTGTTGCACAGTCACCATTTTCGTCTTGTCCCTGTCCGAGAACATCCAGTAAAGTGCAACAGGAGTAGATCAAAGTCTGAGAGTCATGACCCAGGTCGGCCCACCCTCTGAAGTTGTCTAGGAGGTAATGGGCTGACAAAATTGTTGACGAGGAATCTTCTACTGATGAATGATGGACCCCTGCTGTACATGCTCCCCTGTGGAGTTCTTAATATAGGACATTTTTGGAGTTGAAAGGATTTTTAACATGTATATTCACTCGCAGAAAAATAATATTTTCGTTGGGTAAAAGAGTATGTATACTCACAGACATCTTTCACTGCTTATTCATTATTATATTCTTTTTCCGCAATCACCTCAGGAAAAAAAAGCAGTTGGCACATAGTGTTGTAGTTTACAGCCAGGCTGTGATAACTGCACCTTTCATGTAACACATCTAATTTCAGCAAACCCTTTTTTAGCTGCCTATTATGGTATGCTTTTTAAGGGACCAGTATGCCTCTCCCCCACCCCCAAACAAAATAGGATCCTGGAAGCCACGCAGAGACTTCATTCATATGAAGGGTATATTCACTCTAGAAAATCTAGGGGTGAGGAAAGATGCTGGTTCTGGATCGGACACAAACACATGCTAACAGCATAATTAGAAGGTTCTTCCTGTTTAATGTAGAGGGAAAAGGAAATTTATGAAGAATTCAAATCCCAAGGGGAAGGGAATATAAGAAAGATTACTAATACCAACAACAGCAGCAACAAAAAATGAAAGACTAGAGATAGCAAAAATTATAGTGATTACTGCCTGATGGCTGAAGACCTGTGCTGTCAGTTAGAGAATTAAAAAAAAATTATCTGTGCTCATTTTAAATTTTAATAATCTTTTCATAAAGTGGCCTAAAGTGAGCACTTGTTCATTTAGTTGGATGGCCATTAGGATCACATACACAGTTCGCATAGGGGATTAACAGCTAGCACTTTGATTGCGTTCTTTGATTAATCTTTTGTAATCAGTTCTTTTAACTTTTCCAGTGTAATTTAAAAAAAATTGATTCCTGCGACCAGATTTTAGAATCTTAGAAGACAAGTGCCCTTAGAGAAACAATAATAATGAACAAAGGAAAGAAACTACCATAAAATTCAAGTAGGGACGATTTATGCAACCATTTCTCCAACCGTCTTGATTTTTATCTCTTTATGTTGGTTTAGAATGATGTAGGCAAAGCAAAGTTTAAAAAAAAAAATGGAAAAATCACTACAAGGAAATTAAATAGCTAAATAGAAATCTTGCCGAATACAGGACAGGCCTGCATGCCCAATTTGTAACCTTTTGAAAATAAAGTTTGTTTGTTTATTTCACAGTTACAAATGATTAACTTGAAGAAAATTATTAAAATAAATAAATAGTCACTGGCCCGATATACTCAAAATGTATCCCTAAGTGTATGAACCATAGAGGTACAGATTTTCAGTCTCAGTTAATTAATTATAATTAACATAATGAAGCTTTTGCACAGAATCAGTTGAAGTAATAACTGAAGTAGAATGGACTATCCTAACAGAAGAATTGGACAGTATCATGAATGGATATTGAAACCAGACGAAAAGTAGAACTGGTCACTTTCATATTATCACAATCACAAAGGACAAGTAAATGTTCCGCTAGAGAGCCTTTATCAGCACATTCCATGAATAGATAATGTTACATTTACAAACATGAATACACAACATCACTTAACTGAGGTGACAAATTGACAAATCCCAGCAAGAAGAGACTATAATATCATTGCTTAAACCATCAGTATTTGTATTACTTTAACTATTATTCTAACTACGATTATATCCCCATTTGAATCCCAGCCATTGAAGTAAAGTACCCTAAGTTTTTGGGCACTGGATATCTGGCCATGCCTGTACAGTATGATGCACAGAAGGAGCTTATAATCAGTGTTGAATTCAAGCCGGAGTCTCCCAATGGTCTTCTGCTGTTCAGCTCAGAATCCTCCGATGTCTGCACCCACTTCTTCTCTGTGGTGTTGGAAGATGGCTTTGTTGTGTACAGGTGAGAAGTAAACCTGGAAAATGACTGGCTAGTGTTGTGTCTTGTCAGAAAGTTTACATGTGATAACAATTTTCACTTCCACTTCGTAGCTATGTCCGAGTGAAGGCAGCCATCAGTCCCTGGTGACCATGGAGTTGTGCCGCTAGTTTTGGGAACAGCATCTGCTTTTACTGAAAAATTCACAAAGCTGTTGAGCGACGTTGGAGTTACCTCTCCAGGACACAGGCATGGACATGTTGCATAGGCAGCAGGTACCAAACAATCCCCCTGTCCCTTGCTACATCACCGGTAATACCAAGGGAGGGACAAGTGCCAAAACAGCTTGGTGCCAAAGATATTGTAGGACCTGCCGGAGCAGCAGTGTAAACAGTGTTGACATGCCTTAGGAATTCCAGCTCCAGATTTTTCCTCAGAGTTTACCCCTAAAGCACTTTCCCTTAATTGGGTATTGCCACAAGTCAGTGGTGGTTTGAGATCAGAGTTTTCTCCTAGAGAGCTGCACTCCCATTCTTATGAGTTTCACTTGCCCGAAGCAGATGAGCATATGTAATCTGCATGTGTAAGAACAATTTGATCAAGTTTTTTGGGTTGTTTTTGACCTTTTTTCTATTATTCTTAGTGGCAAAGTCCATAGAAAAGTTTAATTAGCCATAAAATAGTCAGTGTGTTTCACTATAATTGTACTATGGATATTTAGCTAGTGAGGTAATCAGTTGCAGCACATTTTCAAACTTTAATGTCTCACCATAAAACTGTTCCGACCCAGTGATAGAATTTGCTGCTAATAACAGCAACAATAAAATTATAAGTATACTTCGTTCATAGGACCTGACCACATGCTGTATCCTTGTAGGAAACAGAAGTTTGTTAGACTGCTTTTGTGCACCCTCACTAAATATAAAATGTACAAACACAGGGTGATCAAATGATTGCCAGGGTTTTAAATTGATAATATAAAAGAAGCATTTAATGGAAATACTTTGATATACATGTATGGTATCTTAAAGATATTCCGGAAAGTTTAAAGGTTTTGTGTGACCTTGTTGACAGTGCCGTTTAAAATGGCACATATGCGGGAGCGAGAGTGGTGGTTTGAGACTGTTCACTCCGCTTCAGATTGAGTTGTCGTAAGGGGAAAGTGGGGGGGGGGGGGGGGGGGGGGGGGGGGGGTGTGGACTGTTCAACAGAAGGCTGAATTTGTGTTGTATGCCAAACTGAAATGTGTTGTCACAGTGCAATGTAAGTGGTGGTATTTGCATCCATAAGGAAATCCTTCAGATAACAAAGCTTTACATCAATGGCTGGAATAGTTAAGAAAAACATACTGTTGAGACAGATACATCTACTGGCTGACCAAGAACAGCGAAGAAAGATGTGGCAGTCATAAAGCAGGGGTTCAGGGTCCCCATTGTGGGGAAAACAAGAATAGACTCACTGCCTCCTTAATATGCATGTCGTAGGAGTTGACTGAGGGCTTCCTTTGAAGTCAGAGTACATCTGCCCGAGTGGCAAAGAATAACCAAGTGCACACAAATAAGTCAGTAAATAGATGTACACGCAAAACTCATGCCCTGGCACAAAGCCAAGGTCCAAATGGACGAACAACCAGGACTTTCTGCTGCAGCTTACAGCTGGTTAACAAAGAATTTAAAAAATGTAAGATAAGGTAGACTTACATTATAAGCTGAAAGAAATAAATTGCTTGTAGAAGTTTAGCTTTAAGACTTCCAAAACTACCTTTCAGAATGTTGTGCACAAATGCTGAAGGCACCAGAGAAATATACGGTTATGAAATTTAAAAATATATATATTCTCGCTGACCAAGAACAGGGAAGAAAGATGTGGAACTCATAAGGCGGTCCTGCATTAGAAGCCCAAAGAAATCAATAGGTTGTAGAAGTTAAGCATTAAGGATCCAAAAACTACCATTCAGAATGTTCTGCATAAATGCTTAAGCCTTTGGGCTTACAGAATTCAGCTGCTGCATGAAATTTAACGCAGATGGAAATGAGTGAAATTTGCTGAGTCTATGAATTCCTACAGTATGTTTGCTTTGGTGACGAAGCCACATTTTATGTGAATCATGTAGGATGGAACTCCTCCTAGTTTTAGCTGCATTGTTCGTATTGTCTCAAGTGAGAGGTTCCCAAATGCCTGGCTGAAAAGATAAGGTAAAAAAGGGTGGCATCAAACCTAAAAGAGATGGTAACAGCAGTAACTGTAACTCTAGACACTCAGAAGACATGGAAGGAGTTTGAACACCATCTAGACACCACCAGAGCTACTAATGGCACCAGTATTGAAGTGTATTATGAAAATTCTAAGATGTTAAAGTTTTCTGAACATCTTAAGATGCACACATGCATATCCATTAAATACTTCTTTAATCTAAGACACAAACAACCGATTGCACAGTTTATTGCTTGACATATTGCGCTGTATCTTGTCAGGTGCATACTAATAATTATCAACAATAATTACATAAATAAAGCAAATAAGTGAATCCTTTATAACTGAAGTACATTCAAAACATTGTTTGTGTCTTCTTTTTCAAATTTACAACAGAATAACATTACTTTGAACTTCTTTTATCATAAGTTTTTAACCCTTTTAGCACGGGAAGTTTTTCAGAGGTCTAGCCAAAAACACGGAGCTTTTTTTCAGTGAATTTGGTTATTACTTTATTTAATTTTTTTGACAGATTTCTGTTATTCTGACCCCCATGAAATAATATATTTGAAGGATATAGATTGAAGTTCGTGATTTTCACAATATCGTTAAAATTAATTGATGTATATGCAAATTATCTCATTTGCATATCTAAAAATAGAAAATATGCACTAGAAATGGATGTGCAGGAGTGTCAACACCTTCGGGTGGATATACCCTGAGCCATGGTTGGGCTGTGGTCTGAACACAACAGCGTCCCCATCTGATTCCCACTATTACTACTAACACTAAATCCTGCATCAGTATCAACAGAATTAGTGTCATCACTTGATTCAAATGTTTTATCAACATCAAGTTTAGGGGCAGAAACATACGAGTCAGAAATACTTTTAGCGGTTCAGGTCACTATCTAAAAAAATTCAACAACAATTTTCACTTCGATACCAAACACTCGAAAGTCGCCATGTGTAAAGCTGATACAGCAGTTAATATAAATGAATCACTTTCAGTGTTTCAAAGTAGGAGATTTCTTAGAGGTTCGAGGCGAAGCACGATCGGGCCGATGATCTGCCGTTCCGTGTTTTTGGCCAGACATCCGCCGGCCGATAATCGGCCCGTCCGTGCTAAGAGGGTTAAATTCCAGCAATCATTGTCAGTGGTCCTGTATTTGTAACATGCTGACTGGTACGCATAGGTATTACCTTGTCACACATGGTACATTGTTTGCAGTATTTTGGTACACATAAGTATTACTTTGTCACAATGGTACATAGTTTGCAGTATTTTGGTACACATAAGTGTTACCTTGTCACAAATAGTACTTTGTTTGCAGTAGTTTGATACACATAAGTATTACTTTGTCACAAATGGTACATAGTTTGCAGTATTTTGGTACACATAAGTGTTACCTTGTCACAAATGGTACATTGTTTGCAGTATTTTGGTACACATAAGTGTTATCTTGTCACACATGGTACATTGTTTGCAGTATTTTGGTAAACGTGAGTGTTATCTTGTCACACATGGTACATTGTTTGCAGTATTTTGGTAGACATAAGTGTTATCTTGTCACACATGGTACATTGTTTGCAGTATTTTGGTAGACATAAGTGTTATCTTGTCACACATGGTACATTGTTTGCAGTATTTTGGTAGACACGAGTGTTACCTTGTCACACATGGTACATTGTTTGAAGTATTTTGGTAAACGTGAGTGTTATCTTGTCACACATGGTACATTGTTTGCAGTATTTTGGTAGGCATAAGTGTTATCTTGTCACACATGGTACATTGTTTGCAGTATTTTGGTAGACATAAGTGTTATCTTGTCACACATGGTACATTGTTTGCAGTATTTTGGTAGACATAAGTGTTATCTTGTCACACATGGTACATTGTTTGCAGTATTTTGGTAGACATGAGTGTTACCTTGTCACACATGGTACATTGTTTGCAGTATTTTGGTAAACGTGAGTGTTACCTTGTCACACATGGTACATTGTTTGAAGTATTTTGGTACACATGAGTGTTACCTTGTGACATGGTACATTGTTTGCAGTATTTTGGTACATGTGAGTGTTACTTGTCACACATGGTACATTGTTTGCATCATTGAAGATTTAGAGGTGAGAAGTAACCCTGGAAATTGGTTGGTTAATTCCATGTCCATTTGTCGGTAAAGGTTATGTGTGATTATTAGAGGAGAAAGAAAGCTGAAAAATGGTACAGTCTGTTTGTGAACAAGATAGTAAAACGGGGAGTTAGAGTTTGTGCTGTAAAATGTCACAGAGAGGACGTTAGTGCAGTTTTCTGGACATTGCAAGATGTTGAACTTAAAAAGGGATGAATTTATGGTAGTCTTGTCAGTGCAGTGTGTTTGTGAACAAGATAGTAACATTTAGTTACAGTATTTGCTGTAAAATGTCACAAAGAGGATGTAAATGTAGTTTTCTGGATATTGCAAGACGTTGTATATAAAAGCGGATGAATTTAGGAGAGGTGAAGAAATAAAGATTTTTTTTTAAGTATTCAGAAGCCATGAGTTGTTAACCCTTATGCTCGATATTATGGATATCGTTTTGATTCCATGATAAATACAGTAAATCTGGGAGAAATGTGGCTTTTCTGCCTACCCCCGGGCGTGAACCTGGACCACAAGGAGTTCGTCACCCGGTCACCGCGCAGTCCGATTTAGCCAACTACGCTTTCGAGCCGGGCAAGAAATAGAGATATGTCTCTGCAGCTATTGGTAACCACAGTAATAAGACAAAGAAGGTGGATACTATATTGGACCCATCCTGAGAAGAAACTAGCAGAGAATCACCAGACAGCCACTAAAATGGGAAGTAAAGAGAGTGAATAAGCTGGGAGACCTCAAAAGAAAGCATCAGATGAACATTAATGAGCGAGCCAAAGGGGCTGGGCTAGATTCCACCCATGATATTGAACTGACTGCATAGGGCTGGGCTAGATTCCATCCATGATATTGAACTGACTGCATAGGGCTGGGCTAGATTCCATCCATGATATTGAACTGACTGTATAGGGCTGGGCTAGATTCCATCCATGATATTGAACTGACTGCATAGGGCTGGGCTAGATTCCATCCATGATATTGAACTGACTGCATAGGGCTGGGCTAGATTCCATCCATGATATTGAACTGACTGCATAGGGCTGGGCTAGATTCCATCCATGATATTGAACTGACTGCATTGGATGGAAGGAAATGGGGGATTAGACTGCAAGCCCTATAATGGCACAGTGAATAAATAAATATGTGTAACCTGAATGTTGAATTGACATCATGGCACTCGGGACACCCCCATAAGCTCTCTGTCCCCATCTTCAGCAGCAAACGAAGAGTTCCAATTCCAACAGCACCAGTAACAAATGTTTAACTTGAAAAATTAAGAGGGGGGGGGGGGGGGCCAAGAGAGGAATGGATAAATGGTATTGCTGAAAGATGAACAAATCCATCATAAAAGCCACCTGAAAAGTGCAAGACAAATAAAGAAAACCAGACACTAGGCGAACACATAAGAACTTTAAGACAGTACGCTGAGAATCCTTGCAATTCTTCCAACACATGGATAAGGTAAATGGAGAAAAAGAAGGAGGAGGAGGAGGGAAATAATAATAATTAAGATAGTTAACTGATATCCGGTAGTATAGATAGGTTTAATTGATCTATAGATAGTTGATTACAGCCTAAATATCCAGAAGTAAAACCTGTAACAGTTCTCATTCTTTGGCATTGAGAATTTAACATGTCTATTTCGACTACAACAAACAGCTATTGAGGAAGACAGTAATCTACAGTTCTGAGTTTTAACCATAAATCTGAACTGTTGCTGACCATCCTCTCAGGTTTGGCTGCGGGACAAACGTGGCTGTATTGAAATCCTCCGTCCGAGTGATTTTAGCTGCCAGGAATAAGCTGGTAGTTGCCAGGCTGGACACAAGAGGCTCTTTGCAGCTGAATGCTGACCAGCAGGTGGAGGGTCACTATCAGGTCAGTGCATTTGCTTCTTGTTTGTTCATGCTTAAAAGGGTGGTTGGCACGTTGGGATGTGGTTTACAGCTAGGCTGCAATATCTGTGACTTACGGCCCATTACATTCAATTTCAACACATCTTTAGTTGGTTTTAGTTTTAGTTGAGTTTGCAACTTCACTGTAATCGGGTCACTCCATACTTGCTCCATTTCTGTACCAATGAAAATCAAATGAAATGTTCCTCATTGTTTCAATTTAAAAAACTGGTGAACAGACAATTGTCCTGGCACAGTCCAGAAATATGCAGACGTAATAAATGCATATAGCAGTTTCTAGAGTCCCCAAAGCCAACAGTCGCTACCAGAAATGCAATTTGTCATTGATGAAAGTACTCGGTCAAAATAAATTCAGTTCACTCGTTAACTGACCACTGACCATATTGAATACCACGACACAACCACTGCACAAATGAATGGCATTACACAGGAAAAAAAAACAGCTCACAGGGCTGCACCAAGCACTAAACTCAGTAGCTCGGGGAATAAAATCATATACTTAGTTATTTGTCTTTCACAACATATTTTTCGAGATGTGGTGGGTCTGTTCTTTTCAAAGTATGGGGTCCCTGAACCCAAACTGGGAATGCCTTTCCTAGAGACTAGAGATTGGGCTATGGGTAGACATACCTGTATAGAGGATACATCATAAAAGAGCTGCCAAAGTAGCAAGAAGAGATAAAATTTAAAAAAAAAGAATTAATCAGTTGCCGTTTGTTTGAACCTCTCTGGTGTGATGAGGCTCGTTGGACATGCTGAAATTATCTTTGCATATCTGAAGTAGGAGAGTGGGGCATTTATGAGGATACCCATTGACAATGAAGAGTGGTTGTCTATTAGCCTCACACTTTTTCATCATGGAAATGTTTTAGTTAGATGCTACCTCTAGGACAAAAGGACCATGGTTCAAATCTTCATCGAGGCAGATTTTGTCCTTACTAATCTTGGCTCACAGGCTTACTAAGTCTCATTGGGTACCACATAATATCCTAGGAAGGTCGACAGGCCTGATGTGCACAGACCACATCATCCATCGAATGCTGATGGGTCCCTGAAAGATAGGTCTGGCACTACCCGATGTTTCAAAGGTTAGAAAAGGGTTCTTTACATGTCTTACCCCCTCCCTGTATCATCATCATCATCATCATCAGGTACCTTGCCGACTGGCGTGGGCGATCATGCCTCTCCATAATCTGCGATCTCCTGCAGCATGTATCAGTTCGTGTGCCGACACACCTCCATGCCATGCAACAAGACTGTCAAGCATCTTCTCTCGTCTTCCTCTATCCCTCCTTCCACAGATCTTTCCAGTGGTCACAACATGTTCTATTTTCCCTCTTCTCATAACATGGCCGAAAAATGATGACTGTCTCCTTCTGATGTCTGTGATAAGTTGTCTTCAGGCTCCCGCCTCTTTTAAAACCTCTTGGTTGCTCTTTTTGGCTGTCCAATGTATTCTAAGCATTCTTCTGTAAAACCACATCTCTGAGGCTTCTAAAAATCCTCCCTGTATATCGGAATAAAATAAACCAAACAAACAAGCAAACGAAGAAAAGAAAACAAAAGCTACTATTTAAAAAATTCTGATGATGGGTTGAAAAACCGCAAAGAACACCATCTTGTCTCTAACAGAAACTATTTTACATAATGGCAATGCTGCTGCTGTATTTGCTTTGAAGTTGAGATTTTTTTGAGTGGCTGCAAAAATATTGATTTCTTCTTCATTCTGTAATGTTGTGCGCACTCCATCTCCACCACTCACAGTTGCTGGTGCATGTTTCTGTTTGTTTAAGTGTTGGAGTAGGCATGTGTATTTATGGTGCTAGACCATATTTATAATCAGGTGTTTTGTCATGCCAGTGTTTTTACTTCCCATGACATTTCCTGGTGCTAATTTTAGACTGAGTCAATCTACATGTCGAGGTTAGTTATGTTCTTCTTCTACCTTTGTCCCTAAAAGGGTGCTTGGCACGTTGCATTGTGGTTTACAGCTTGGGTGTGATATATGTGCCTTTAGATAGGTCGTGATACATTTTACTTTTGCCGTCTGTTGCGTAAAACAATGAGCAGATTTTCAAAGGGGTAAACTTAAAGGCTTAATCTGACAATCCCTATCTGCATTAACACACAATAAAGGTGTAAGCCTGTGCTTCATTGGTTTGTGGCCATGCAGTGACTTGTCCTCTTGGGGTATATAGAACCTTCTTGACATTTCATCCAAACAAAATTACTGTTTCATCTTATTTAAAAACTAGATGTTGTGGGTAACTTTAGAGTTGAGTTTGCAGTTTCCTCCTCGTAGGCATCTGCTGCTTTTCGTTGTTGTTGGTCTGAACTAGCTGCTTCTTCATGCCTAACAATACTATCAAGAAAAGATATAAAACCAAACAAAAAGTATATTAGGAAGCTTCACAACATAACAAATACAAACAAAACATAAACGTTGCAGCTATGAACCTTCATTAGCACATACAAATTAAACAATACTACATAGATACTTCATAACAACACTATGAACTCCTGTTCATCAACATTTTTGGTGACTAAATCACTGCATAATTAAAGCCTTCTCGCATATTAGGGCCTTAGTAACACTCTCAAGCAAGCTACATTTCATTAATCCAGACTAACAAAAATCTTTCTACTTCTTCTAACACTTGAGACCTTTGAGTCATTAACATAGTCACTCCTTCAGCTGCTCCATTCCAAAGCCAATAATGTTATAAAAGTTTTTACTTCCACATCCTTTTATCTCCCAGTAAAGTGTAGACAGCTAGCTAGCTCAGTCAATCTGTCTTGAACCTTATCATCTCTTTCAGCTCCCTTCATGCCCTCCTCATTTTATCATCTCTGCCTTAAAATCTCCCCCCTTTTTTTTTTACTGCATATGGGTTCACCATCAACAAAGATAAAACTGTAGCCATGCACCAGCCAGCCCTAGGGCAAATATACATCGAGCCTAATATCACATTGAATGGCTACAGATTAAACGTTGTCAGTAAATTTACTTATCTAGGCAGCACCCTTTCACAAAGTGCCACAATTGATGATGAAGTAAATGCAAGGATCTCTAGGGCTAGCGTTGCCTTTGGCAGATTGTACAAACATGTTTGGAACAGAAAGGGCATAACCCTGCAGTCAAAGCTTAAAGTTTACAGAGCAGTTGTATTAACTAAACTGCTGTACGCATGCAAAACATGGATTGTATACCAGCGCCAGGCTAGAAAGTTAAACCACTTTCACACAGTCTGCCTTAGAAAACTAATGCATATCAGATGGCAAGACAAAGTACCTGATGCCGTAGTCCTTGAGAAAGCAGCCACGCCCAGCATCCACACTCTTCTGATGCAATATCACATTCGTTGGGCTGGTCATGTGGCATGCATGCCAGATCACAGGTTCCCAAAAAAACTCTTTTATAGTGAGCTGCAAAATGGGAAACGTTCACAAAGCGGGGAAAAAGAAACGCTTTAAGGACACCTTGAAGTCTTCACTCAAAGCATTTGGGATGAATTACACCAATTGGGAGGCTGCCTCTCAAGACTGAAATGCATGGCGTGCTACTCTACACAAGGGCGCGGCTACATGTGAAGCAAACAGAACAGCAAGACTTATTAAGAAAAGGATGGACAGAAAGCCAATTGTAGGAGATCCCCTCCCTGGCACAACGCTCATTCCCTGTCCTCACTAATAACTTTTCGGGCCCACATCAGCCTCATCTTCATACTCATACTTGATGAAAAAGAGTGGTCATCATCATCTTGATGAACAAGAACACACACATAGGGAAAACAAGAATAGACCCACTGCCTCCCCAAAAGCATGTCATAAGAGTCGACTAATTGGGAGCTTCAAAGTCGGAGTGCATCTGCCTGAGAGGCAAAGAACCAACAGTCTGCATACAAATTAGTCAGATCTGTCAAATGGATGCACACGCAACACTCAGGTTCTGAAACAGGGCTACAGTCCATAAGTGGACAAACAACCAGAACTTTCCACCGGAGTTTACAGCTAGTGAACGCGAAGAAGAAGAAGTAGGCATAGTTCACGGGTCAGGTAAGAATTTAGGTTCATGGACCGATTTTTGTGTGACTTAAGGCATTCGTGACCCAAAGTACCGCTTTATATATTTATATGCACACAAACTCACAACTCACTTATGTGCATGCACAAACACATACAGCAAAACTTCATTGGCATGAATTCCAAGGAACCAAAATAATATGTTAAAGTTCATGTTAAAACAAATGTGCTAACAAGAGTCTAATGATAACACATCCCTGCTGAGACCAGTTATGTTTATGTTAACACAGTGTTCTTATTAAGTAAATCATGCTAACTATAATTTATTGTGTGTATGTAAATATATATATATATATATATATATATATATATTTATATATATATATATTTCTTTTCGTAGGGAGAATATAAGAGACTATCTCCTAGTCTTCTTGTTTACCTTGGGGGCCACAGTGACATGGCTGCAGTCTTCAGTCATGTGGCCACAAAACACAAGTTTGTTGGTTGCATTCAGGGGATAGCAGTCAGTGGAAATGTCATTGACTTTAGGAGGAAGCTACAGTCAGGGGAGCTGAAGCTTGGAGCCAATGTTGGTAAGTGGTAATTCTTTTTGTAGCGATTATTATGGCCTGGAGAGAATGAGGCACCTGGATGTAACTAGAGGAAGGCAAGACAGACATATAACCAGATTGTGACCGGTACCAAAAGTATTAGAACTCTGTGTTGGCTGCAGAAGATGAGGACGGAACACATATGGGAATGCCCAGAGTGCTGTGATATCAACTCTTGACTCAACTCAACTCTTTTTGTAGCCATAAAATATTATTTAATAGTTGTTACTTTTTGGCATTCAATTGCTTAGTTTTTCTATTCTTGGCAGCCATTTCATGTAGTGTTAATATACTATATTGAGTCATTAATTATTTACACTTCTCATTCTACATTTTATTTATACAAAGTTAGGTTTCACTATGCAGATCATTTCTGTGTAATCCCTCTCCTTATCAGTGCACTTTGATCAACGGTCAACAAGCTTTTGTATTGCTTACAAATAAAAGGTTTTTTGATCATGAAGCCATTTTCGCACTGCATTTTGCACGTCTAAGTCTGAGGCAAATTGGCAACCTCACAAAGCATCCTCGAGCAGCTGAACAAGTCCTGGATGGTTTGATGGACAGAGCAATGACTGTTGTCTAAAAATACATGACAAAAGAAAGATACATTAACACTTCAAGATATGACTGCAGAGAAATGAAGCTATTTCTTGTAGTGTTAATGTATCTTTGAGTTGTTGGTTCTGCCGTTAAATTGCTTACTTCTCGTGTCGATGTTGCCACTTCTTGCATTGTTAATATAACTTTCATTTATTGGTTTCTGTCACTGAATTACGTAATTGTCTAGTCTAAGCAGCCATTCCCTGCACTGCTTATATATCTTTCAGTCACTCTTTCTATCATTGAATTATTTAGTTCTCAACTTAGAAGTAATTTATTGCAGTGTAAATATATATTTTGATTTTTGTTTTTATATCAGTTCTCTGAGTTTGGCAGCCATTATTATTCTCACAGATGTGCAGATTTTCTGTTCTGCCTCTGTCTCTGCCCTCTTTCACTTGGTGTTTTTCTTTCTATCTCTCTCTATTGCTGACTCTTTTTGTCTGTTTCTGTCCTTCTTTCTCTTTCTCTCTATCTTCTCTCCTTTCTGTATGTTTCTCTCTCTCCCCCCCCCCCCTCTCTCTGTACCTGTCTGTTTCTGTGACCGCTCATGTATTTTACGGTGTTGCCATTTTTCTGTATACAATTCAGACGATATAAGAATTCAAGCAAGAAAAATTGCTCAGATTAACAGATTGCTCTACACAACAGATTGCTCCACACAACAGATTGCTCTACACAACAGAAATTTGCCGCATCCTGGATCACCCTAAGCGGTCTACATTCTATACAGAAAACATTGTTTAATTTTTCATCATTTTTGTATGCATTGTATTTTATTGAGGAAACTGATATCCTGGTTTGTTGTTCTTGCCAATCCCTCCCAGGTGAGTGCAGCGAGCATGTTTGTGATGGAGTCACTTGTCTCAATGGTGGAACCTGCGCAGTCAAATCAGCAGACCAGCATGTCTGCCTCTGTCCGCTGGGTTTCCATGGAGACAGTTGTCAAGAAGGTGATAGTGCATCTTGAATATTCTTCTCTCTGTAGGGCATGTTGGCAGGGCCGCTTTGATATTACTATTGTACAATAATTATTTTTAAGAATAAATTGATAATTAAAGCTACCAATATTCCTTTCTGAATTTTCAGGCTCTGTTTTGTGTGAACAAAAAGAATAGACCGATTGTCCTCTTAATAAACATGTTGTGAAAGGTCAAGAATTGGGAATTTGCTAAAATCAGATGTCTCTGCACAGATATTGCAGCCTGGCTGTTTAGCCACAACACAGTGAGACAGCCATGTTTTTACATGTAAACCCAGAAGAAGAAGGAAAAAGAATTAATTTTGATCTCCAGGTTTTCCTGTCTCTCTTGATAATGAAAAGAGGATTTTATATTATTGACCTAGGCTTCTAGTTCATCCTCATCATTAATCGGTATGTCCTTTAAAAAGCATCAGTCTCATCGTGACACACCCAGTTCTCTAGCCCTATGTGCTTTCATAGCCAGTGCATCTTCAGTGTCTTGAATTCACCCTTGCAGAGGTTGGGCTGTGCATCGTTTTTGGGAGACTGCACAATTCATCATAATTTTCTCCAGGATACTTTGATGCCTGACATGGCAAAAATGCTTCATTTTCTGGAACAGGATACTGTTTATGAGCCAATCCTCCGTGATGTTCAGATCATGCAGTCCCCCTGTGGGTTCCAGGGCCCCATTGTGGGAAAAGATGGCAGTATATTTGGCACATCATGAGGAGAAGCAGGGAAAAAAGACATGGCAATATATTTGGCACGTCACGAGGAGAAGCAGGGAAAAAAGACATGGCAATATATTTGGCACGTCACGAGGAGAAGCAGGGAAAAAAGGCATGGCAATATATTTGGCACGTCACGAGGAGAAGCAGGGAAAAAAGACATGGCAATATATTTGGCAGGTCACAAGGAAAAGCAAGGAAAAAGGAAGATGGCAATATATTTGGCACGTCACGAGGAGAAGCAGTAAAAAAAAGACATGGCAATATTTTTGGCACGTCACAAGGAGAAGCAGGGAAAAAAAAGAAGATGGCAATATATTTGGCACGTCATGAGTAGAAGCAGGGAAAAAAAGAAGATGGCAATATATTTGGCAGGTCACAAGGAAAAGCAAGGAAAAAGGAAGATGGCAATATATTTGGCACGTCATGAGTAGAAGCAGGGAAAAAAGAAGATGGCAATATATTTGGCACATCACGAGGAGAAGCAGGGAAAAAAAAGAAGATGGCAATATATTTGTCACGCCACGAGGAGAAGCAGGGAATCATCACATTGGTATAGAAATGGGAAATAATTGGACTGAAGAATGAGAGAAACCTCATGATAAATGTTGCTGAGAGAGGCTGAAGAGACTGGGTTAGTTTCCATTTCTGAAAGGATTGAACAGGATAATTTGAGGTTTTTGAGGATCACCATCATGGCACACAGGTAGTAACCCATAAGTGGTCCATTCTTCTTCTAACTCAAGTCTGAGCCCGAAGAAGCTCAGTACAGTGCACAAGTCCTGTAGCACAGACAGGATAATTTGTAATAAAAGACTAGACTGTGGGCCCTAAAATGCACATGCCACATCAGGATGATGCTTCAGCATTTCATAAAAATACTATTATGCCTACAGATTCTCCCGTGCACATCCCATACTTCTCAGGCCACTCTTATCTGGAATTTCCTGGACTGGAGAGGTCTGTGCTTTCCTACACAGAAATTGTGATTGTCTTTAAACCAACTAGCGAAGATGGCACCTTGCTCTACAATGGCTACTCCAGGGGCACAGATGGCGACTTTATCTCATTGTCCATGCAAGGTGGGCACTTGGAGTTCAGATTTGACTTGGGCACTGGCCCTGCTGTTATCAGGTAAGAAAATAGTTGTGATGTAACATTTTTTGTTTTAGTATTCCCCAGTTGTAAACTCCTGTAGAAACTTCTCGTTGTTGTTTACCTATGGAGTTTAGTCTTGTTCCAGAACGTGAGTTTTTTTTCTGCATATCAGTTTTACAAGTCTGGCTTATTTGTATGTGTACTGTTGGCTCATGGCCTCTCAGGCACATGTATTCCGACTTTAAAGAAAGCGCTCCTAATTAGCTGTCTTTTACAGCACAGTTTTTAAAGGAGCAGTTTGTCGGTTCTCCCCCCCCCCCCCCCCCCCTTCCCAGAACCCACACAGGAAAATGTAACAGTAACGAGTAGAGACCTTTTTAAAGCTATTGGTGTTAAACCCACATTTTCATAGACCAGTTGGCACTTGATGGATGATGATGTCAGCATCATGCCAGCCACATTTGCTTCCCTAGACATGTCTTGATATCCATTTTAGACTGGGGCTTGGTTGACTTTAGACTGGGGCTTGGTTGACCTGGATGCCAGCTGTTCTGCCAGAGAAAACAGAGGGAGGGGCTGAATGAGGCTCAAGCCCTGTTTAATTGTGCAATAATGACAACAGTAATAAGAAGGATGTCTTATACAGACTCAAAAATGTCTGTCAAAATAGGATGCACTTGTCTACTGTCTTTACAAAATAGTGCACCTTACTTTATGGTGGCATCTTCTTCGCGTTCACCAGCTGTACACTCTGGCGGAAAGTTTTGGTTGTTCGTCCACTCCTGGACTGCAGTCCTGCTCCAGAACCTGAGTGTTGCGTGTGCATCAGTTTTACAGATCTGATTTGCTTGAATGCAGACTGGTGGTTCCTTGCCTCTCAGGCAGATGCACTCCGAGTTCAAAGGAAGCTCCCAATTAGTCGACTCTTATGACATGCTTTTGGGTAGGCAGTAGGTCTATTCTTGTTTTCCCCACAATGGGGCCCCGGAACCCACACGGGGATATGGTGGCATCATTAAGTCTGTACTGGGCTGTACGAATAAACATTTTTATTTCTTCTCTTCTTCTTCAGCCTACTGTGCTCTTGTGGTTTATTGCTGCAGATATAATCCGCCTCCATTCATCTCTGTGACTGACTTCTTTTTCTAATTGTTGACTCCCCATCTTTATAGGTCTGCCTGAAAATTATCTCTCCACTTCTTGGTCTGTCCCATGGTCGATACTAAGTCAGAACTTGTATATATGCGGTTTTTATCTCGCTGTTGTCTGTCGTTTTCTCTATATGCCCCAAGCATTAATTACAGTCAGTGTAATGCTGACCACATTACCCACAGAGTGCTGATGGTCTGTAAAAATATGGGACGCTCTGCCCATATGCCTGATGCGCCGAAAGGCGTGAAAAGGGAACTTTACTTTACTTTACTTATTACAGTCAGTTATCCCCCTTGATACCAGTAAATAATTGTGATTAAAGCAGAACATTGTTTTACGAATCTTCATAGTTTTAAAAAAAAACCACATCACACAAAATTTCAATTCACCAGAAGCAGTGAACCACTGGTCATGAATGTGTGGCATCTGGTGCGAGCTTCTCGTACTGGCTTAATGGGCACCTTAGATGTTGATGGCCAGGTACAGAGGACGGGCCAGGCAGAAGGAGCTTACACCCAGCTGACTTTGTTAGATGGACTCTTTCTGGGAGGACATCCACATTATGAACACACTTCTAGACATGCAAATTTAACCAAGTCCTTTACAGGCTGTCTGCAGAAGGTAAGTTTTCCCTTTTTCCTTTTCAGAGTGTCAGCACCATAAACTCTTTCCCCATGTGGGGGAAAACAAGTATATACCCACTGCCTCCCCAACAAGCATGTCGTAAGAGTCTACCAATTGGGGGCTTCCTTTGAAGTCAGAGCACATCTGCCTTAGAGGCAAGTAACCAACAATCTGCATACAGTTAAGTTAGGTCTGTTAAACAGATGTGCGTGCAACACTCGGGTTCTGGAGTAAGGCTAAAGTCCAGAGGTGGACAAACAACTAGAACTTTCCACCAGAGTTTACAGCCAGTGAACGCGAAGAAGAAGAGATTATCATTATGTTGTGCCATTATATGTCACAAAGGGATCACAGTCTAGTCCTCCATTCCATTCTCTTGTATGCAGTCCTTTCAATATCACCAATTAGCACCTCTTGCCTCTCTCAACAACGTTCATCTCAGGGTTTCTCTTGGGTGTCCTTATCTTCCCTCAGTCCATTTGTTTCTTATTTCAGTGTCTGTTTAGTAATTTCTGGCCAGTTCTCATGATGTGCCTAGTAAATTGCTAACTTCCTGTTGCTTATAGTTCTTGATGCAAGCGGTGGTTCAGACATTTCTCTTATTTCTTCAACTATCTTTAATTCATCCCTTTTAATTTCCATCAGTTTCCTTAGGCATTTGTTTTCAGATGCATGCAACTTTCATTCTATCCTTGTAGTTGTTCACCAAAAAAAAAATAACATTAGAATTAAAAATATGAACTCAGTTTTTAACACTGTATTTAATAATATTGTGTTTGGGCTTTTAAATGCAACAGTTGCCTTGCCGATACGTTATTTAATTTTTTTAAATTTCAAAGTTGCTGCCTAAATAGGTAAAACTGATATGTTACTGAAGTTCTTTTTGTTTCCAATGTGACATCGGCTTAAGGAGATAAAGTATGTCTATTTTATTCCAGTTTTGACCTCAGATGAACCACTGAAACCATCATCTATGTGCACTGTACACTCTGAGCCTTCATGCATTGCTTTGATGTTTATTATTTTGATTGGTATATCATAACATTCCTAGACTCCCCACAGGGATGTTTTTTGTAAGCTAGTAAAAACCTTCTGAAAGTCAGTAAAGTTCATACCAAGGGGTGATTGTTTTTAATATTTGTCTAAAATAAGTCTTAGGGTCATTATTTGAGTTAAAAAGCGTTATCTAAATAACCAGATTGTAGAAAGAATAGAAATGCAAGCAATACGTATCCACCTATTTGCATTTACACACCCATGCCTTCTCTCCATAAAGGTGGTTAATCATAAGTTTGTAAGAAATGTACGTATAACACCACCCAGTTTTGTCCTTTTTTAGGACGAAATTTTTTGTTATTTGAAGCCCCACACTGGCTTTTGCCAGGGGCCGCAATATAGGCAGGCTATAAATATGGCCAATTGTCTGAACACGGTTTCTGGGACCTCTTCACCGCGATCCTCATCCGCAAGGTGGCACTTTGTGTCATCGGGTATTTATCACTTGTGTGATGTCCTAGTGGGGTAGAAAGTCAGTCACTCAGTTTGTAAGAATTCTGAAGTTCCCCAGGAAATATGACAATGAAAGTCAAGACTGTCAAATTTGGAGAGAAAAAAGTAAACGTGATATTTACTGATGATGCTTATTTGAGAATAGTAAATGAAGTTGGTTGCTCTCTCTCTCTCTCTCCCTCTCTCTTTTTCTCTCTCTCTCTCTAAAACATGCGCACACACACACACACACAGACGGCACCTTTTTTGTATCAGTTGCACATGGTGCATATAATGGTACTCATATTTTGTAGATCTGTTTGCCTACAGTGACGGTCACATCAAGCCGGTGATTTGGTCACCATCAAGCCAGTCAGAAAAAGTTAGGACCATATGATTTTAAAAAAGAAAACTTGAACATGGTCTGTGTTGTCACAAACTTTCAGGCACTAGGTGTGATGTTGAAAATGTTACTAATAGAGTTGCCTTCTGTGCCAGAAAACATATTTTTAGAACCAGACACTGAAGGGGGAAAAACATGTTGGATTGAAGTATCAACAGTAAAAAGAACTGTTTAAGTCTTACTAAATTTCAAAGCCAATTTTTTTTTTTAGTCGGGGGGAGGGGGGGGGGGGGGGGGGGGGTTGTCCTCATTATTGTTTCTCCATATTTTTGTTATCTCACAGCATACACTTTTAATATTCAGTACAAATTGTTCCTGCTGTAGACCTAAGTTTATGTTTGCCTATTTGTCCTTTTGACTTCCATGTTGACCATTTAGTCAGTCTTAGATCTAGTATCTTGTGCTTCATTATGGGCTATGATGTTAACTCTGCAGTAAAACATTTGACGAGATGCACATTATCATCATTGTCATCAGTCAGCAGGTCCTTGACAGAATGTCACAGCAGTCACGGCACACCTGAAGGTCTCTAGCCAGTTCTCCAGCCCTGTGTGGTTTCATAACCAGTGCATCTTCACAGAGGTCGGCCTATGCCTCCTTTTCTGAAAACTGCACCCTCCATCATGGTTCTCTGCAGCCACCATGATGCTCAGCATGGCCAGAATACCTCAGCATTCGGGATAGGATGCTGGATGTGAACCAGATCTTGTAGGAACTCATGTCATGTTGCAGTGACTCTCCTCGGCTCTAATCATATGCAATCTGCTCTGACACCTTCTCGAATACTGTAACACAGCAGACTTGCACAGGTACACACGTTGAGAGAAACACCAAACAGCTGATTACAATTCAGTTTATTCTGCAAGTGTCTTCTCTATCAAAAACATGCACCAGAGGTAAATTGTCTGGGGTACTAGCTATATTCACTAGCATGCTGGTACTTACAGAAACATAAGGATTAACACTGTTACCGCATCCTATGCTGGCATTTTACAAGCTCATAAAACGGCATCAGAAACTGCATAATCAATACTGCCTTTCATTCCTCCATTCAATGATGTCATGGGTTGAGTAGCCAGGTTTCTCTGGGCTGGTAAGTTGAAAAAATCACACGCTCGATTCAGGATTCATTGAATTCATACACTTCAACCTCCAACAAAACCAGATCAAACCAAGACTCACGGCTCACATAACCTATTCCTTTCCTTTCAGAATGTTCTCACACATTTCTCGCACTGTCTGCTTCTCATGACTTTTGGCCACCTACGCAAAATTCATGCTTGCCTCGTAAAGTTCATGCTTACCTCGACTTGACACTCAGTCTATTCACTCGTACATTATTCTTAAGACCACCCATTCAAAATAGTTTGAGAAAATGATATACGAAGGAGAAAATGCCTCCTTACACAAGTGCATTATATTATTTGTGTCCTTATAGTTGAAATATTTGTTCCTTTTTTTCATTAGGTGGCCATCAACAAGCAGGTCATCAATCTGCTGAGCGGGGCGGTCACAGGTGTTAACGTAGAACCCTGTTCACACCCATGTACAGGCAGGCCTTGCATGAATGGTGGAGATTGTAAACCACATTTGGACACATACATGTGTTCTTGTCCTATTGGATTTGGAAATACTAACTGTGAAGAAGGTAATTTCATCAAGGATTTCTTATTCTTGGGTTGTAAATCTGTCTCCTCTTCTTTTGCCCTTCCTCTCCCAATAGAGCATAGGTCCTTGACCATCTTACACTTAGACTATGCCCATACAGGACAGCAGGTTACTTCAGTACTATTGGGTGTCTCTATATAATTTATGTACGGTTGAATAGAATGTTTTTCCATGTGGTTTCAGGGGCCTCTTTTGGGGTTAAAGAGTGTAGAAACACTGCCTCCTAACAAATGTGTTGTAAAAAGTTACCAGTTACAGATTTACCACCATAGTCAGAGCGCATCTGCCTGAGCAGCAAGGAACCAGAAATCTGCATACAAGTGAGCCAGATCTGTAAAACAGATGTGCACGCAAAATTCAGGTGTTGGAAAAAGACTAAAGTCCAGAGGTGGACGAACAACCAGAACAAGCTACCAGAGTGTACAGCGGGTTCACACTAAAAAGAATACTGGTATTACTTCACAGATCATCATCAGGAGATTTGGTAGTGTAGTAGTTATCCCTGTAGAGGAACGTTTAACAGTTCTCAGCATTCTCTGCAATGAATGGTCCAAGTATTAAATAATAAAGTAGTAAGAGGGTAAATAAAATAATAAAAGTGAGAATTGCAATAGCATATTTGGTTAGCATGTTTCCCCACAGAGGGCGCTGTAGCAGGAGAGAGGCAGTATTTTCCTCAGCATTGGAGACAAATCAGACATTTTCATCAACTATCAATCCTGGATGAAACCAGATAATGAAATCTAGTTAAAAAGTAAATCGTGTTCATCCTTTAGCATATTTTCATGCGGGTATTATGATGTTGAAACAATTGCATAGCACAGAATGAAATGGGAGAATAGATAGCAAGCCCTGTATGACAACAGGATGATGTTGATTATGAGTTTAGGGAGCTATCTCCTATCCTCACTGTCTTTTTTTTTTTTTTTCAAGAAGTATTTAGTCTGACAGAATTTATTTTAATTGACTTCTAATCATCATCATCATATAGCATTTCCTATACAGAACAAAACTGTCACCACAGCCTGCCTTAAAGAAACTCTCTTGCCAGATCTCCTGCCTCATGCACTTTCTTACCCAAGGAGTCACTTATATCCTGTGTCCATCTTCTTGCTGGTCGTCCCCTGCACCTCTTTTCTGGTACCATGCCTTCTGCTACTATTCTTTACAATCCACCATGATGCTTATGGCCCAAAATATTTCAGTTTCTGAGACAAGATGCTGTTTACTTGCCAGTCTTTCTTGATGTTTATATCTTTTAAGATGTCAGCATTTCTTGTCTTCTCTGCCCCCTGGTATTTATTCTTCAGATACAATTCAGACACAAAACAAACAATTTTATCTCCTCAAATTTAGATCTCTGGTTTGGTAATATAGTGCACTATAATCTGTGCTAAAAGTGCCCATACTGAATTAAAATGTAGCTGTTTGTTGTTCTTATCTTTAGTTCAAGAATATCTTCCCAACAAGCCAATGTTTAAAGGACAGAGTTACCTTGTGTACAAGGACAAAGAGATAACCAAAAGGTCAGCTTATATGTAAAAGTCATTTGGACCAGTGTAATATTTTGTAAAAATGTAGATCATATTTGTGTAATATTATCTTCTTCTTATTTGTATTGCCTATTGAAGAATAAGCCATTAACCAACTCTTCTTCTTTTTGTGTTAATATGAGTGTGTGCATGTAAATATATGAGAGTGTATGTATGGATGTGTGTGTGAATGTATTTATGGGTATGTTTGCTTGTTTTTGTCATCTGTTTATGAATGAATGCCTGTATATATGAGTATGTATTTATGTATGTATGTGTGTGTGTTTCTAAGTGGCTATGCTTGAGTGTTTGTCTAGAAGTATGTGCATATGTATGGGTATTTATGAGAGTCTATGTGTGTATTCATGAATGTGTGAGTATGTATGAATATACATACATTTGTTCATAAATGGTCTTCAGAAGTCTCCTATGTCCAGTGCGAATGTCCTGTGCCTATTGCTTGTGCCTCATACTAAAAACTTTTTAATTATTCAAATTTATTTCTGACATATTTGAATATATATTTTGGACATCGTATTCTAATAACTTATGGTGTCAATTAGCGCAGTAATGTTGTCTTCCTGTATGACTGCTGTGTACTAAGTTGCATTTTTGACAGGACATTGTAGAACTAACCCCAGCATACTTTGGACTGCTTATGGTTTTTCTAGACAATTTTGCTTTCACTAGTTTGCCATTACTTTCTGAAGGGTCAGCTGTCAATGCCACTGTAAAAATCAGCACAAAGTGATCAGCTGTCAAATTGCCAGCAGCTGGAATTGAACTGTCTGACCTAGAGCCATCTCACATAATAATAGTATCTTCCTATATGACTGCTTGTATCATCTCACATAGTAATATTATCTTCCTGTCTGCTTATATAATTTCACACAGTAATATTATCTTCATGTATGACTGCTTGTATCATTTCACACAGTAATATTATCTTCTGTTTGACTGCTTGTATCATTGCATACTGTAATATTATCTTTCTATCTGACTGCGTATATTATTTCCTACAGTAATATTATCTTTCTATATGACTGCTTATTTTATTTCTTCCAGTAATATTATCTTTCTGTATGACTGCTTATATTATTTCTTTTAGTAATATTATCTTCTTATATGACTGCTTATATTATTTCTTCTAGTAATATTATCTTCTTATATGACTGCTTATATTATTTCTTCCAGTAATATTATCTTCTTATATGACTGCTTATATTATTTCTTCCAGTAATATTATCTTTCTGTATGACTGCTTATATTATTTCTTCTAGTAATATTATCTTCTTATATGACTGCTTATATTATTTCTTCCAGTAATATTATCTTCTTATATGACTGCTTATATTATTTCTTCCAGTAATATTATCTTTCTGTATGACTGCTTATATTATTTCTTCCAGTAATATTATCTTCTTATATGACTGCTTATATTATTTCTTCCAGTAATATTATCTTCTTATTTGACTGATTATATTATTTCTTACAGTAGTAGTGTCTTCCTTCCCAAAGGAACTCATTCAGGTGCTGTCTAGATGGTAACGGTTGACTGTAATGGTTCTCCAACATGCTCTTCTCTCCCCCCTGGATGTACACTCTTTGAAATGGAGGTCTCTGCAGCAAAGTGGTCAAGCTCTTTGCTTAGCTCTGTGAAGTTCGTGGGTTTGCTTCACGGTGGCATTTATTACATCAATTTTACTGAGATCCCTAGGTATCATCGCCAGAGCTACATAGTTGATGCTTTGTGCGATGCTCTCGGCAGGTGGCTAGCCATTCTGCAGAGATAGACTGAGTCAAATGGGATAAAACCAGGTGCAATAAAGTCAATCCTTTCGACTTTAACATTTTGAGACTGCTTTTGTTTCATTTCTTGATGTTATCCTACCACTTATATTTCCGTCTGCCACTTGCTTGCCTTCAACCTTTTCCTCTAGAATGGTTTTTGATTAGGCTAAACTGTTTTGCCTACAAGGGACTACAGTATTCAATAAAAACAGATATTTTGTTTTTAAAACAAAGACTTTAAAACTTTCTGAATAAGAAAAATGGCAGTTAAAGGTCACATATCATCATGTAGCAGGTTTTCTGCTGGAAAGGAACTCTTTCTCTCACTAGTTTTCCTACCCAAGTTGCCACTTATATTCTCTACCCGTTTTTGTGCTGGTCTGCCCCTGCCCCTCTTATCTAGTACCATACCTTCTACTACTGTTCTTTTCAAGTCTGCTGCGGTGCTTGATATGGCCAAGATTGTTCAGTTTCCGAGATCAGATGCTGTTTACTAGTCAGTGTTCCTTGAAGTTCAAGTCAGAAGCCCCTGTTTTTTCCTTAATTTCTTCTTCTTCTTCTTCTTCTTCTTCTCTTCCACCTTGTACCTCATCGAAGTGTCGGGGGGAGATGTAATGTTCGTTGATGAGCTCTGTCAAGAGCACTATTAAGACTGATGTTCATTTCTGTAAGGCTGTTCTTAATGCCATCACTCCATCTTTTCCGAGGTCTTCCACTCGCTTTATACCCGTTGTAACGTTTTAGTGTGCCTCGCTGTGGCAGATAGTACCAGGGCATTCTTGTTAGGTGTCCAAACCATTTCATTTGTTGTTCTTTGATGACCTGTAAGACTGGCTTTATTCCTAGCATTCGTCTGATTTCATGATTTTGTATTCTGTCTTTCCTTGAAACTCCTGCAGCTCTTCTAAGGCATTTCATCTCTGTTGTCACAATTTTACGTTCATTGGAGGATGTAAGTGTCCACGTTTTTTCCTTAATGACTGTGAGATAGTCCATGACTCACATCTGTATATTGCTACAGGGAAGATGCATGCTCTCAAATTTTGACTTTGATTTTCTTGCTGGTGCTTAACCGTAAATTTAATTCTGTTTAGTCTTTGCATTGCTGTGGCCATCCTTCTTTTGAACTCTGTCTAGTTCTCTCCATTGCTATGTATTATGGAGCCTAGATATTCAAAGTTTGTGATGACTCCCCAGTCTTCGGTAGTTTTGTCTTTGAACTTTATTTTTATTTTCTTTCAATTCAGCAACAGGTTATGATATTTACTGTTTTGGAACAAGACATTGTTAAATTTTGTTGTTTTCTTTATACTGTTTGAAAGGAGGGCTGTATCATCTATGTAGCAACATTCCTTAATAGGATTGCCACCAGTTATTAGTGGATCATAACTGTCAGAAGTCTAGTCATTTTTTACATTTGTCATTGTGCTTTCTGCACATATATTGGATAGGTATGGTGAGAGAATGCACCCCTACAAGTCACACAAGTCAGTAATATTGTTCGCTCTTTCAGAGTGGCTGGCAGTCGTATGGATTTACAAGTCTACATTCGTCCTCGTGGGCGTGATGGACTTCTGTTCTGGAGTGGAGAAGACCAAAACAGTAAATCGTCTAAAGACTACATTGCTTTAGGTTTCTATGGTGGAAGTTTGCAGCTGAGGTACAATCTGGGCAGTGGTGAGGCCCTGATTGGGTATAATGATTCACGATTGTTTGATGGGAGATGGCATTTCATTCGAGTTCAGAGGTAAGAGCACTTGTGTGTATATATATATCTATTTTTTTTTTCCAGCTACTTAACTTTCCAATTCCAAGAGGATTTACAAAATCTTCCCCCCATTTAACTACCACCATTAGAATGAATTACTATTAGGAATGTAAAGAGAAGTAATTAAGGGGTCTCCATGGCAGAAGAAATTATTTATTATCATACTCCGGCTGAAAGTTCTGGTTGTTCATCTGTTATTAGACTGATTTCTTCCTGGGCCGGAGTTTTGCATGTACATCTGTTTTACAGATCTAGCACTTTGTATGCAGACTCTTGTTTCCTTACCTCAGACACATGAACTCCGACTTTGAAGGAAACACCCATAATTAGTCAACTTTTACGACATGCTTGTTAGGGGGCAGTGGGTCCAGTCTCTATCCCCAGAATGGGGCCCTGAACCCACACTAGCATCTTTGGGGTTCAAGATTTGTACAATGCTGTCTGCGGAGAGAGATGGTGTCATATGGAATAAAACCATGTTTGGTGATTCAGTCCTCTTGGCTTTTTACCTTTTTTCTAAAAAGAAATAAATTGCTACTGGTGTGACTATGCAACGATCAGATGTCTTCTTCTTCTTTATTCACCGGCTGTGAGCTCCGACGGAAAATCGGGGCTGTTCATCCATTTTGACTTTGGTTTTGTGCCAGGGCCTGAGTTTTGCGTGTATATCTATTTTACTGGCTTATTTGTGTTCAGTTATTTGTTCCTTGCCAGACAGATGCACGCTGACTTTAAAGAAACTCCCAATTAGTCGACTCTTATGACATGCTTTTTGGGGGCAGGCAGTAGGTCTATTCTTGTTTTCCCTACAGTGGGGCCCCGGGACCCACACTGGGAGCAGTGATCAAATGTAACATGTAAGAAGACATCTGACAATGTTTGGGACATGGACTGACTACAAAACCATACTGATCGGGGACAGTTCTGCCACTGGAGAGAACTGAAACTGGAAACTAAGTTGTTAGCTTAAGAACTGTTTACTTTTCTATTGATAATGTGCTCTTTTTTAACAAGCATATCGTAGAAGGCCACCAGTTAAAGAGTTTGCTGAAATCAGATCTGTTTGGCCAAAATAGGCCAGATATTGCACCCTAGCTGTAAACCACAACACAAGGTGCCAAACACCTTTTTAAGGATGAACATGGAACAAACATTAAAGAATCTCACAGAGCATTGGACTCGTGTTGCAATTGAAATTAATTCCTATTGATTAGAGACATGGGAGAACTAATGCAGACAAGTACAGTCTTAGAAACTTGTCTTGACGGGCACTTTTGGGACAAAGCATTTTGTTACAAAGTGTGAGGTTGAATCAAAAGCTTTAACATCTAAAGAACATAGAGGGTATGTAGCCATGAAGAAATAGTATCACTGACACTGGGACATAGGGAGATAATTGTGAGATATAATGCCAGTAAAAGCACATGAAGTTCACAAAACAATGGAGGCTTCCACATTTGGATGAGAAGGCCAGTGATTTCCTTATTTTATATTGAAAATTGCCTTTTACAGAGTCCTTTTACTACCCTCATTATACCATTGTTAAGGGCAGGACAAGGGATCATATTTAGGGCTGTGTTGCTAGTGCAGTTACTAGAACTATGCTGGTTAAAAATGTGTGGCCCGACAGAAAAAATCGCATCACCTTACTGCGCATTCAAATCCAGGTTTCCCAAATGAGAGCCTAGTGTTCAACCAAACATTCAGACACTTTTGTTAATTTGTGGAATATATTTATTTTCAAGAATAGTGCCTAAATGAAAAATAAAAGTCAGTCACTTTTAGGACAAGTACAGACATGTTAAGATCTAGGCACATGGATAACATCTGATGGATGGAAGATCTATCACAGAGATACAAATAGAAATGACGAACATTTTATGCAATAAATCCATGTCATTGGGGATTAGGAAAAGAATTCTGCCAAGCTATATAGAGCCAGTGTTATCATATGACTCTGAATCCTGTACATTAATAAACAAGACAAAGAATATCTTGAGGCCTCAGAGATGTCTTTTTACAGATAAATCTTTAGAATTCCTTTGACAGATAAGTAGAGTAACCCAGATGTTCTGAAAGAGGCGAGTGCTTGAAGACAACTTATCACAAACATTAGAAAGAGACAGTCATCATTTTTTGGTCATGTTATGAGAAGAGGGAAAATCAAACATGTTGTGACTGCTGGAACGATTTGTAAAGAGGAAGACGGTATGAGAAGATTCTTGATATTCCCTAGAGGAGTGTCAACACACGAACTGACACACGCAGTTGCTGATCGCAGATGGTTTATAGGCATGATCGCCCACACTAGCCTGCAAACTACTTGATGATGAATTTTCATGAAAGCTTCATAGGCTTAAATTCCTGTGTGGGTTCTGAGGCCACATTGTGGGTGTCACAACCCTGAGAGTGCAGTCAGTGGCGGAATGGACCACACCGTAGGGTGTGCTGAGTTCGGGTGACACCCCAGGGTTGACACAAAGGTCAATGCCATGACTGGCCTAGTCTGTGCTGTTCACAGTGAAACTGTCGCTCAGTGGAGACCAATTGAGGATGACGGGAAAGAGTAAACTCTGTTGCTAACAAGTTCGCAACACGATTACTCCAGGGGCAGGTGAACGGGTCAAATGACACGAGGTGAAAGAAGACAGGGGGGAATTGAGTGTACAGCGTTCGGACCGAGCAGACGTGTTAGCGAGAAAGTAATAGTATATTAGAGTTAGGATATTTCTTTAGTGACTGCATAGATTATTTACAGTGTTCTGTTAGAATAGGATAGTCTTGTGTGCTGTGTATTTAACTGGTACAAGGTATTGTGTTGTGCCATAATAAGTAAATAGTGTCCAGTTACTTCTGACCAGTTAAATTGTTTAGGTGCATGTTCTGTGAGAGAATGTCTAACCTTGGCACTCTGACCCTGCACTAGACAGACGCTGTGACATCTTGGTTGGTCAGTGTGTCGATAGGTAAGAGCGTATCTTGTGCCAGTGTGGTTTGTGCATCGGAGATTGCCTGTGGAACGTACTGGAGAGCGAGGCGACTGTAAAGATTGTTCGGCCAGAGGGTCCAGGCAATAGGTGGCCACACAGGGGGAAGTCAACTGTCTATTGTAATAAAGATTGTCGTGTGTTCTCTGTGTTCGTTCGGGTTCAGTGTGTGTTAAAGGTTAGTTTGTCTGTCATAGGCCCAGTTACGAGCCACGGACCATCAAGGTCACCCTGAGGTCTGTGACAGTGGGGTGGAAGGGGGGGGGGTGGGGGGTGGGACAGGAATAGACCTAGTGCCTCCCCAACAAGCATGCTGTAAGAGTCAACTTACTGGGGGCTTCTTTCGAAGTTGGAGTGCATGTGCCTGAGAAACAAGGAACCAACCGTCTGCATACAAAAAAGTCAGATTGGTAAAATGGATGCACACGCAACACTCAGGTTCTGAAACAAGACTACAATCCAGAGGTGGACGAACAGCAGGAACCTTCCACCAGAGTTTACGGCCGGTAAACACAAAGAAAATAAAGATAAGAATAGAAAATGTGAAATATTGCCCATAGTTCAGCTGCTGGTTGTGGGTGTACAGGCTTGCTGGCACATGTTTAACAAATGGGTTGTGTTTTGCCAGAGACAAGCAAGACTCCTACATTGAAGTCGATAAGAAGGAGCTGGTGGAAGGAAGCTCGCCCGGTGGATACACATCTCTGAATACCAACAAGCTGGTCTACCTTGGTAAGTCTAGAGTCTTCACTCTTATATAGTTGAATAGTGTTAGCATAGCATGTTTAAAAAAATTTAATGACTTTTTGCATGCCAGTGGCACATTGGGCATATGATTTTAGACTCATATTTCTTAGGTTATTTGGCATATCGCTGGGTGATGTGGTCAGTCAACTTCATATTGGCTGCCTTTGCTTCCCATGATGTTTGCTAATTACTCACTATAGGCTGGGTATATCTAGGAGCTAAAGTTCATTATATTTTTTTTTTAAATTTGCTGTTGCAAATTCAAATCTGACACCTTTGGGTCAGCAGGCAGGCATTTAACATAGCAGATGGTTAGTTCATAATGAGATATGCAAGTCTGTGGCTTTCTAATTTCTTTTTTATGATGCTGATATTTTCAAACAAGTGTTACATATTATCAGCCTCTTTTGTTGCAATAATTAATCAGCTACCTTGATGGTCTTAGTTTGAAGCAACGTAATGAGAAGAAAAGACTCAAGCATAATTTGATCACTGTTAAGATTTCTGGAAAACAGTGTAGACAAATATAGAAAATGACGATTCTTGGCAGCATTTTTATTATGGCATGGAAAGGTTTCAACATACAAATTGATCTACGCTCGTCAGTGTTGGGAAATGTGGCTGCCCACACCTGTCGGCAGGGCACTTGATAATGGTGAAATTAATACAGAAGTGAATGTTAATAATGGTTGTTTATTTCTATGGACATCTGCAGTAAAAATCCCAATGACTTAAAAAGGAAGTATGATTTATATTGTTATAGTTGTGTGATGCACTTTGCCTCACCATTATAACATTCTTCTTCTTCTTCTGCCTTTCTATTCCCCAATGGAGCATAGGCCCTCAACCAACTCATGCCAAGTCGTTCTATTCTTACCTATTGCATGGACTCTTCCCATGTCCTCCTATCTTATAACATTCACTTCTGTATTAATTTCGTCATTCTCAAGTTTGCTGCTGTGAGTGTTGACTGATACACTTTACTTTTTAATAGAACATCCCCGCTTGTGTTCTGATGGGGGAGGGAGGGGTTAAATTCATTGTCCCTCAACATGTATATTGCGAATAGTGACCCCTTAAAAGTTTGCCGAAATTGGATGTCTTGGGCTAAATGTTGTGGATATCACAACTTAGTTATAAACCACAGTATACTAAAAGAAGGAAGTCTTAAATAGCTTTTATCCTTCTGTTGCATCTGAATATTCATTCAGCAGCTTTACTTCACATTTCAGGAGGGATGCCCAA